TTTTGTAGAATACATTAGTGCACACAACAAGATCAATTCATAAGTTCATTTCCAATATTTGGTAAAATCAAACATTGCACCTTCAGTACTACAACTACTATCCAAGGGTGTACACTAGGTAAATCTCATCTTGTGACATTAACTGGTAAAGGACCACAACGAGGTAAACCAACTTAGGTTGGCTATATGTAGTTGACCGGCTCAAACCAAAAAGGTCAATAAATCACTTTCATTGAGAGTCGATCTTGTAACATTGTGGTTATCAAGTCAACAGTCTAACAAACTTGGCTGAAGTTACCCGACTCATAAAAATTATTGTATTTTTGCTAAAATGTAATATATATTTGTGATCTGTCAAATAGTTTTGGTATTTCATAACAATAAAATTTATGATGTTATATAGTCCTTGTTGGAGGTAATCCCCTTGGGGCAGTGTGGCCCAACATGAGATTCAAAGAAAGCTAGTATGAAGAGTCACTAGTCAACGGAATCCGGAAGGTATTTCAATGACCCTCCTAAAACACCAACCATCCAAATGGTTGGGGGAAGCAAGATGAAATAATTGAAGAAATATTTCAAAGGAATAATCATATTTGGGAAAATCACCGTTTTGTTCTTCAATTGTTTCTCGACTGTTAATGTGATTCTTAATTTTCATCTTCAACTAATTTATTTCTCGAATTGTTTAAAATTTCGTCAATTAAACCGTTTCGAGGAATCGAAATGGTAATTTTTTTCATTTTTAAAATTTCGTCAATTTAATCCTCAAAAGATTTAATTATTTTTTTTAGCGGACAAATTTGTTCTTACATCATTGAATTTTCATATATATATATATATATATATATATATATATATATATATATATATATAGGGATGAGATCTGGTGCAAATGAAGTCTCAGGTAACACATGCGGTGAGATCTGTGTCGTTGATCAAATCTTGATCAACAGCTCAAATTAATAAAAATATAAATATAAAAAAACGCGTGTCCTAGAAGCTGGCAGAAGCAAAGTGTAATAATAGCGCACCTTAAGTGTTACAAAGACGCACTTGAAGTGTTGAATGACGCACCTAAGTGTTGAAATGGCACACCTTAAGTGTTAAAATTGTTCACCTTCTGTGTTAAAAATGACGCACCTTAAGTGGTTAAATCACGTACCTTAAGTGTCAAAATGGCGCACTTTAGTGTATAACTACCGCACCTTAAATGTTAAAATAGCGCATCTTAAATTTTAAAAGGACGCACCTTAATCTTTGAAAAAATGCAACTTAAACTTCACAATGACGCACCTTAAGTTTCAACAATAACGCACCTTAAACTTCAGAATGACGCACCTTAAATCTTAAAATGGTGCACCTTATATATTAAAACGACGCACCTTAAGTTTCAATATTACACAAAATGATCAAAATGTCACCGCATTTTTGTAAACATTGTTCAATATTGACGGTTGATTTTGACAAGATGAACAACTATCATCCACCTAGACACCCCCTCCGCATTTGATCTCTATTATATATGTGTGTGTGTGTGTGTTATTCTTTCCATGAGAATTAGTGTTTAGATGTGGTCATGTGGTTTAATCCACACCATCCAATTTTTCAATTGCACGGATATGATTAAATATGCGTAAACCTTTAAATAAGAGATTTGATTGAAAAACTGCCCTCACTCTTAAAAAAAAAAAAAAAAAAAAAAAAAAAAAAAAAAAACTATCAAATAAAAAATATACACAATAAAAAAAAAAAAGTTATAACCATCAATTTAACAAAATCAAAAATCATAATTAAACCACACATCCACACCTAAAAACTATTCCTCAAATGAATATAAATCTATATATTACGGAGTATAAAAATAATATTACTCACCCCTCTTAATCTTCTTATTGACATGACACTTTTCGTTTTAAAATTTATTTTTTGCCTATATTTCTATATCTATAAATGTGATAGAAGAACAAAATCCTAGAGGAGAAATGGTCGAAAACGCATCATGTTGGGCCTAAACGAAGCATATTATTTTTCGCAGATTGCCCCAATTCATTACAAATATGGACTTATTATGAAGCGACAGTTATGCCATAAACCAATATCAAAATACACAATTTTTTTTTGAAAGCAAAATACACATTTTATATCCTGAATATTTACAATTTAAATTGTGAACATTCAGTATATAAATTGTGAACATTTAGTATATAAAATTGTATACATTTAATATATAAAATTGTGTACATTCAGTATGTAAATTGTAAACATTTAATATATAAAAAATGATAAATATAAATTGTGTATTTTTAAAATTGAGTTCACCTTGTAAGGTGGACCCCAGTCCACAGAATAATTTTCGTTAATGAAGGTAGCGGGCCAAATCTAAGAATGCAGAAATGTGGGTCAAAACTCAAAAGTAGCAATTGATATGTCGTGCAATCATGTCCACCTTGCAAGGTGGACACTGTTCGATATTCATAATTACTGAACTCTATGTTCATAATTATAAAACTCTATGTTCATAATGTTTGAACTTCATATTCCCAATTATTGAACTCTATATTCACAATTACAGAACTATATGTTCATTATGCTCTGGAATTGTGTCCACCTTGCGAGGTAGATACAGTTCCAAAATTGTACATAATTATGAATATATAATTCAAAAACTATGAACATATAGTTCTATAATTATGAACATAGAGTTGTGAACATAATTATGAACATATAGTTCTGTAATTATGAATATAGAGATTCAATAATTGTGAATATGAAGTTCAAAAATTATGAACATAGAGTTTTATAATTATGAACATATAGAGTTCTGTAATTGTGAATATAGAATTCAATAATTATTAATATGAAGTTCAAAAATTATGAATATATAACTTTATAATTATGAACATATAGTTCAATAATTATGAACATAGAACCATGTCCACCTTCCAAGGTGGACACGGTTCCACAGCATAACGATTGGTAGCAACTGGTATACCGTGAAATCGTGTTCATCACCTAGCTTGCAAGGTGGACACAGTTCTATGTTCATAATTACTGAACTCTATGTTCATAATTATAAAACTCTATGTTCATAATTATAAAACTTCATATTCACAATTATTGAACTCTATATTCACAATTACAGAACTCTATATACATAATTATAAAATTTTATATTCACAATTATGAACACTTTTGAAACCGTGTGTAGACACTGTTCCACAGCATAATTTGCCCAAAAGTAACCTATTTCGCCTGCTCCAATCGTTATACCCTGCACCACGGCGCACAGGTCGTTTTGGGAGGCGCGGTAGGAAGTTGACATGATTATGTATATTTGTTTATACAATTATGTATATTTTTTATTATGTACATTTTTTTATACAATTATGTACATCCGAATCAGAAAATTTTTGTGTATTGTGTACTACTCAAAATAACGTTTCAAAATATACTCCTTATTTTTAAAATTTTGTTTTTATCTTTATTAATTAATTAATTTGTAAAAATGACATCATTTACCATTCATTAATCAAAATTCTAATATATTATTTTATCCATTTGTCCTTTTACACTTATATATAATATAATTCAACAAGTAATTTTACAAAACACTTTAATTTTAATTAATTAGTTTATTAACTACTAACTTTTCAAATTTCAGCTTTAATTTAAGCTAGTATAAGCATACCAAACTAAGGATGGCAATATGCCCCGTCCCCGACGGGGACGAGGATGTAGAAAATTTTCAGGAAACGGGGACGAGGATTACCTCTCCTCGCCTCGCCCCGCCCTGTCCCCGAATAATAATAATAATTATTATTATTATTAAATAAATAAACAAATAATATATATATATATATATATATATATATATATATATATATATATATATATATATATATATATATATATATATATATATTAAAAATTACACTAAGGCTCCATTTGGAAAGGAGGAAAATGAGTCATTTTCCAGAAAACATATTTCCTTTCTGGTGTTTGGCTACACAACGGAAAACTGTCTTTGTGTGTTTGGTTCATTTTTCAGAAAATGAGTAGTAAAATGAAAAGAATTGAATACTTCAAAATTTTAATTGTTTGATACTTTAGATAAAATTCTTTTGTGAATAGCACTCGTTTGATATATACATACAAAAAAATTAATATTATTTGTAGATTTTTTATTTTTTTTTTTGAACTTTGAATTAAAAAAAAAAAAAAAAGCCCGCGGACCGGCTCGCGGAGCCCGTCAACCCGCATGGGACGGGCTTTGGTTGCATGAACCCTAGCCTGCGAGATTGGTAGGCCGACTCGCAAAAGCCCACAAAAAATTAGACCCGAAAAATTTTGTATGTGTCTCCCTTGGAAAATGACTTCCCAAAAAAAAAAAAAAAAAAAAAAAAAAAAAAAAAAAGAGGAAGTCATTTTCTCCCAAAACATACATATTTTCCTTTGACTAATGCATCATTTTCAATTGACCTTATTTTCTCCCCTCTTGTCAAACACTGAGAACTTGAAAAACATTTTTCAGAAGTTATTTTTTGGATTTCCAAACACACCCTAATTTAAAATTTTGACTGAGAAAGAATTGACCGGGAATGGGAATCCCCGTCCCTGCCTAATTCCCCGTGAAGACAAGGATGGGGACCATTTTCAATTCCCCGCCGGGGATAGGGATGGAACGAAAAATATACTCACCGCCCCGCCCTATTGTCATTCCTATGCCAAACACAGCCTATGAAAAATTATAAGCTCCATAACTTAATATTTGACAAATAGAAGGTTTATATTCTTTTTTTGAAAGGAGAAGGTTTATATTTAAAACAGTTTTAAGTAAAACCAAACTATTTGGTACAACTTGTAACAAATAAGACCATCATAAGGGCAACATATATAACATCAAAATATACATTTAATTATTTTTAACAAGTGAAATGGATGGCACTTTTGGTTTGCCCTATGAAAGTATATTTTTTTTGAATGCCCCTATGAAAGTATATAGTTGAACTCAAAATCAAAAGTAAAGATGCATGCATGCTAAGAACATTATATAAAGAGTTTATGGTATGTTTGTAGGTGAGGGATGAAAAGTAAAGTGTGGGACTTAGGGTGTATGTTTGGTTATTAGTACTGAATCTGGGATAACATGCACCGGACATCCTTGCTGCTGGCCTGGGCCTTTCTTTGGGATACTCTAGAGTGCAAAAGCAAGCAATCCTCAGAACTAAAAGCATCTGATCCTCGTACCCATTTCCCATCAGTTTAGGATCTATTGCCCTCTTCGGATCCTCCGAAACCATCTTACTCCTCAACCATTTCACCAGAAAAAGCTCCGGTGTCGACTGGAAGAATTCATGGGATGGAAGCTTTCCGATCACCAGAACAGCCAGCAACACCCCGAAGATGTATATATCGCACTTCTCCGTGAACTTAAACGTCTTTTGGTACTCCGGTGCGACGAATCCCGGTGTCCCCGCCACCACTGAGGTGGTCACATGTGTATTAGCCTCCGGCATCACCTTTGCCAGCCCGAAATCAGTAATCCTGGCTTCCATGTCGTCGTCCAGAAGGATATTGGCTGGCTTTAAGTCCCTGTGGATTATCGGCTCCGAGCGGGAATGGAGGTATTCCAGTCCCGTCGCTATCCCCAGTGTAATCCTGTGCCGGCTTATCCAATCCAGTTCCGCATTTCCCTGCGACACTTTCCTCAGAACATCATGAAGGCTCCCGTCTTTCATGTATTCGTACACCAGGTAATGACAGTCCTTATTGGACACGTGTGCCAGTACCGGGAGTAAATTCCTGTGCCTGATTTGCCCCACAGTTTTGATCTCTGATTTGATCTGACGCATCTTTTTGTTTAGCTCTTTGCTCCGCTCTGCGCCATCCTTGTGGGGTAGGTTTATCTTCTTGATAGCTATCATCAATCCAGGAATCTCTGCCTTGTATACATGCCCACACCCACCTCTTCCTATCAACTCAAGCGTGGCCAGCCCGACTTCTTTCTCCAGGAATGACAAGTCCTCTGCTTTATCGATCATGGAACTAAACAGTGTTATCTCCAAGTCATTCTTGTCACGTCCCAGGTAAATCATGAACAGAATGAAGCCGCTTAAAGTCCCTGCAATTGCTCCGGCTAGGAAGACGAGCATCCATCCAGCAACCTTGCGACGTTTGTTCTTTTTGTGGTGGGAATCTGTGGGTGATTCTGGTGAGGGGGCGGGTGCAGATGATGATGATGGGTCACTTCCTTTACTTGCAGAAGGTGGCATTACAGTAGTGGTGGGTTTTCTTCTCTCGGCCAAAACATAACGCTTTGGGAGCCTACTATATTCTGTGGAATCCGCAGATAAGTACTCCAGTTGGGTCATTTTTGGGACTGGACCTTGGAGCAATCTGTTGCCAGAAACATTGAAGAAACGGAGGTTTCTGAAGGATTTCAAGAAGGGGGGGATTTTCCCACTGAACAGGTTATCAGCTAGTGATAGTTTTTCCAGGTTGGGGAAGTATTTGAGGAAGTTCAAGTTCCCAGAAAGCTTATTTGAGGAAAGGTCAAGGACCCGGAGGTGGATCAAAGGCGAGAGTTCAGCCGGAACTTGGCCGGAAAACTCGTTTCTTTGAAGGTTCAGGAATTCCAGCTTCTTGCAAAGAAAGATCTGAGGCGGGATGTTTCCGACGAGCTGGTTGTTGGGAAGAGAGAGCTCTCTGATCTCCGACAGCCTCCCTACGGCCGGAGAAAGATTTCCCCTTGTCTGCTTGTTCTCGTACACTATGCGCACAACTCTCAGCACGCTGGAATTGTTAGCAAACCGCTTTTCGCAGAAGACTCCATGGCCGTAACATGGATTTTGAAGATCACTGTTTTGGTTTTGGGTATAAACGCCCAGGCCTTTTTGAAGAAGAACAAGTGCATCATGGTCTGGGGGGTAGAGGGTTAGCCTTTCCTGAGCAGCATGGATTAAAGTGAAAATCAAGGAGAGAGATAGGGAAGAACGGAAGGCCATTCTGCAGAATTTTCCGGTGGTCTGAATGCCGATTCCTCTGCCTTTTATTATTATAGGATAATAAAAATATAATAATAACTTTTTAAAAAAATGTATCTAACTATATCAATACTTCTCATCATTATTTTGGGTGTTTATTAACCAGCTCTGTTAGCTGGAATAGTGAGTTTGACTAATTGATAACATTAACTAGTTGTAGAGAAATCTTTAATAAATTAGTTGTTAGTTTATAGCTAATTACCAAGACTATGTGGTCTAATGAAACCTGGGTTGGACTTCTATTTGAAAGATTGTGAGTTCAAGCCTTAGTGGAACCATTATTGGTGGACCCGTGTCCACAATGCATTGTGGACATAAGTCCAAAACGACGAAAAACGCGTCATTTCAGTTAAAAAAATTTAATTTTGTCTCGTTAATGGCGTTATTCGTTTGTGCCATTATGAATGTACAGTTATGGGATTATGAATGTACAGTTATGACATTATGAATCTACAGTTATGACATTATGAATGTAAGTTATAAAATATTAAAATTATAAATACAGAATTGTGACATTATTAACTTACAATTATGAACATATAGTGATAAAATTATGAACATAGAGCTCTAAAATTGTGAACATGGAGCTTCGAAAATTATGATTTTACAGTTATTGAATTATGAATGTACAGTTACGAAATTATGAATGTACAGTTATGCAATTATTAATGTACAGTTATGCAATTATGAATATACAGTTATGGAATTATGAACACAGAGCTATGACATTATGAACTTACAATATGAACATATAGTGATAAATTTATGAACATAGAGCTCTAAAATTGTGAACATAAAGCTTCGAAAATTATGAAGTTACAGTTATTGAATTATGAATGTACAGTTACGGAATTATGAATGTACAGTTTGGAAGTATGAATGTACAGTTATTGAATTATGAACATAGAGCTCTGACATTATGAACTTACAATTATGAACATATAGTAATAAAATTATGAATATATACTCCTATAACGAATTTGAAATAAAAAAAAATATAAAAAAAAAATAACAATGCGTAACGGCACTGTTACCCGTGTCCAGCATGCATGCTGGACACGGGTGCAGAGCATAACGATTGAGCCTTTTTGGAGACATTAGTAGTGATCAAATAAGTCAAATTTGACGGATAAGCTAACTATGTTACCAAATAGGGCTTATATCTCTTCATATTTATTTTTAAACACTTGATTATTTGTAAGATAGTATTTGTTATACCATACTTAATCCCACCACCAGATTCAGCCATATGACCACCCATTTGTATTATTGAAGATAGATTTTTAAAATTATTTTTAAAAATACTAAAATATAGAAAAAAATTTACAATTACATAATAAATAAAATATAGTTTATGAATGAAACTCTGAATTGTACGTGCACAAGATCTTGGGATGGCAGAGACAATGATGCGCAAAGAGGCTTTGTATTGGTTAAAGTCCTATAGATTCAAGTCCTTCAACAAGATTATTTTGAAGATGGATTGTCTAAATTTTTGCCTTGTACTAATTTAGTTTTTATTTGAATAATTAATAAGCCAATGTCATAAATAAATAATTGAAGTAAACGAAAATGAATTCGTATTTCAGTCAATAACATTCCTTTGATAGCATGATCGAGTCTCCGACCGTGTGGAAAATTGCACTATTGACTAGAGACCTACCGACCTGTGTCGTATTCATTGCGAAATTTAACCTGCATTACATTTGTCACATCACATTAAAGAGTACCCATAAAAATTCTTAACTTTATTTTCTTTACTTTTCCCTGTTTGATTTATTAATTTATGAAAAAATATGCAGCCACTACATAGTACATAGGACTCCCCCAATTAATTTATTACCTTTACTATAAATTGTATTCAGTCTTTCAACTAGGACTATGTGGTCTAATGGTATCCGGGTTGGACTTCTATTTGGAAGATTATGAGTTTAAGCCTTAGTGGAGGCGTTATTGGTTCTTTGTGTTTTAGTAGGTTGAGAAAGTATATGAACAGATACTACAATGTATTTGTGTTTTAGTAGGTTGAGAAAGTATATGAACAGATACTACAATGTAATAGAGCCAGTAACTTTCAAAAAAAATTGTATTAAGTTCTTTTAAATAAATGTGTAAGATATATTAAATACAATATATTTAATATAATATATATATATATATATATATATATATATATATATATATATATATATATATATATATATATATATATATATTAAATATAATATAATATATCTATAATATATATTAAATATAATATATCCATATATTATATTTATATATTGAGAAGAGAGAGAGGAATGAATGTGATTTTATTTGATGAATAAACTGATTGAATACGTCCTATTTATACTAAAGAACAAAGCCAAAATTTAGGGAGTAAAGCCCATGATTCCATGTACTTCATTTCCACATATTTCTGCACATACACCCACGTTCACATTCACACACCTCACATTTCATTTTAATATTGACTTGGTTTAATTAGTAATAATATTACTAATATTATTATAACATTGCCTCCTTTAAACCAAGTTGGATATATTGGTCATCCCAATTTCCTTCTTCAATTTGAGAAATATCTCTGTCTTCAGCGGCTTCGTAAAGATATCTGCAACTTGACATTCACTTGAACAATACTCTATGTTGATTTGCTTTTCAGCAACCAACTCTCTGATTTTGTGATACTTGATATCAATGTGTTTGCTACGACCATGAAAGACTGGATTTTTGGACAACGAAATTGCTGACTTGTTGTCACAAAAAATAGTCGTAGGTGTTTCCTGCTCGTGTTGTAAGAACTCCAAAATTCTCCTCAGCCAAACTGCTTGAGTAGCACAGTTTGCTGCTGCAATATATTCTGCTTCTGCGGTTGAAAGTGCTACAATCTGCTGCTTCTTTGAAGACCAAGAAAATATGGCTGAACCAAGATAGAAGGCATATCCTGATGTGCTTTTTCTGGTCTCAACATCTCCAGCCCAATCACTGTCTGTGTACCCAACA